ACAATTCCATAACGTTTTTGAGCTTTCACTGACAATACTTATTAAAGATAATTTTAAGCGTGAAAACTGTCCATATTTTGATGTCATGATATGCAAATTAAAAATTGTTATTTTACGGTGATAATCTTGTTTTCTTGTGCCCAATAATGCATAATTTCATTTGATAAATACGTTTAGATTGAATGGTAATTTATAATCAGTCACAAGAACGTCGAATCTGAATCACTTGAAAAAACACGGGGGTGCTTAACTTTTTTCCAGGTGTATATCTACCCTTTTATCAAGACTTTTATAATTGCTTTCTAATGGTGGATAAGTGAAACAAACCGCTAACTTAAATATTTGACGTTATGTAATGCACGTTGCAAAATACTTTGAATTATACACTGAAATGCATAAATAATGATATACTCCATTAATATTATTGGTTATTGTTTAAAAAATTTCTTTATTATAACTATTATTTAAATTTATGAAGATTATTTTGCACTGTTAGCTTAGTGTATAGGTTTAGAACTAACTTAAATCTGAGCTGTCTGGAATTATGCCCGAAAATGTCGTTAATAGCGAGGGTGGCCAACAGATGATTTAGTACGTTCTGATCATTATAGGTTTTAGTTTCTTGTGTATTAAGTTATGTAATTCTATAGTTCTTGTCAATAGCGAGAGTGGTCAACAGATGATTTAGTACGTTCTGATCATTATAGGTTTTAAGTTTCTTGTGTACTAAGTCATGTAATTCTATAGTTATTGTCAATTTTTTTATTTAGATTTATCTTCTTTATTTATAAGTTACTTCTTTTAAGATTTTCTCTTTATAGTTTGGTTACTTTTGATCAGAAAGTTATCAATAATTCCTCAACAAGAATTTACTTCTTTTAATTCGGAGGAATGTTTTATACATCGTCACGATTTTCTCTCCCCCCTTTTTTTTCTCACAAACCAGGAATTTCTACTTATAACCAACAGCACACCTGAAACTGTAGCGCCACAAGCCAGAGATGTTTGTTCCGGGTTGGGAAAGGGAGTTTCGCTAAATGTTTATAATTCTTGTAACACCCAGAGAGAGAAAAGTAGATCAGTTCTGCAATTTACGTCGTATTTAGTTAAACAACAATAAAAATGTCATGAATCCGACAAGTAGAAAACATTCTTGCTAGGTTATTTTGATTGGGTAACTATCGAAAACTATTCAGTCTTCTTAAAAATATTACCTCACCATGGTCGAAAAGCTGTCCTATTTACTTAATCTTTCATATGATTTGAATTGAAAGCAACTCAATCATTCTTAATATTCTTCATGATTGAAAATATTGTTTTCAACCTCACATAACTTGAGAAACTACCCAATAATTAAAACAAAAGAATCATCATTAAACAGCGCAGCAATCCTTAACATTATTTATGACTTAAAACTATATTTTCAACCTCACGTGATTTGAAAAGTTGCCACATCACTTTTAACATCTATAATCATTAATAGAAAAAAATCGTTATCGTTTCTAATATTTCAAGTAATTAAAACCGAGATGGAATCCAGTGTTTTTAAAATCTTGAATGATTATAAAGTGGAAAAGCTATTTTCAAAATGTTATATGATGATAATTTTAACCTATCATTTAATTACAATCCAAAGCTACTCAGTTGTTAGCATCTCACATAACTATAACCCAAAAAAGACTCAACCACTATAAATCCTACGTGAATGTAATCGTGTGATAGTCATTTAATACTTCTAATGATTATTACAAAAACTTACTCCGTCATTCTAAAATATCAGGTAAATGCAATAGAAAATTACTCAGTCAGTCATTTAATATCTTACATGATTTTATCATCTCATGATTATGTCCGAAAAATTACCTGATAATTTTAATCATTAAATATGATTATGCCCAAAAGTTTTTATCTAAAACGTTAATATCAAAGCTAGAAACTTATAGATTATGTTATAAACCACAATCGGAAATGTTAAGAAAGGGTCTCACGCTCGAAATGAAACGAGTTGATAACCTGGCAACAAACGGTTTAATGTTCAAAATGAACTGAGTTGATAACCTGGCAACAAACGGTTTAATGTTCAAAATGAACTGAGTTGATAACCTGGCAACAAACGGTTTAATGTTCAAAATGAACCGAGTTGATAACCTTGCAACAAACGGTTTAATGTTCAAAATTAACTGAGTTGATAACCTGGCAACAAACGGTTTAATGTTCAAAATTAACTGAGTTGATAACCTGGCAACAAAGGGTTTAATGTTCAAAATGAACTGAGTTGATAACCTTGCAACAAACGGTTTAATGTTCAAAATTAACTGAGTTGATAACCTGGCAACAAAGGGTTTAATGTTCAAAATTAACTGAGTTAATAACCTGGCAACAAACGGTTTAATGTCCAAAATGAACTGAGTTGATAACCTGGCAACAAACGACTTAATGTTAAAAATGAGCTGAGTTGATAACCTTGCAACAAACGGTTTAATGTTCAAAATGAACTGAGTTGATAACCTGGCAACAAAGGTTTTAATACTGAAAATGAATTGAGTTGATAACCTGGCAACAAAGGGTTTAATGCTCCAAATGAAATGAGTCGATAACTTGGTAACAAAGGGTTTAATACATAAAACAAACTGAGTTGATAGCTTGGTAACAAAGGGTTTAATGCTCAAAATGAACTCAGTTGATACTTGGAAACAAATTGCCTCATGCTCGAAATTCTGTAGTACCTTTTGTCATAGATGTTTTTCACACTAAAAACTAAGAGAAAGAACACGGAGTGCACGACAAGAATACGGTTATTACTATTATTGTTGTTACTTTTTGACCAACCAGGTAAAGTTACAATTCAAGTATACCCACCTAGGTGTGTCAGGAGTAACTTTACAGACTGGCAAACTAAAATCTATGGTTCCCGTATTAGACTGAGCGCAGATAACCTATAAAATGATCAAATATACAATTCAAGAAGTTTTATTTGGTGTTTATTAAGTAAAAAAGTGATTTTAGATGGTGGGTAATGATTCGTTTTTGTGCGAAAAAACTTAATCCATCTTCCCACTGTTTACAGAGCACAGATAACCCATTGTGTAGTTTTATAATTAATAACAAATAAACAAAAAATTATTCATATGGCAAGCTGTCTTTGCATCAGTGCATATATATAGCATTCGTAAATCAGTATGTTGTAATTTTTTGTTTTTAAGCATAAAGCTGGACTATGGTCTATCTGCGCTGTACCCCCGCAGGTATCAAATTACGAATTTTAGTATTATAAGTCCTCAAGCTTGCAGGTGAGTCAACAGGGAAAATTTTTGTTTTCAACATTGTTTAAAATACGTAATAAATAAAAAGGGTTTACATTTATTAACACAGTCCTCTTAATTAACAGACAGTTAAGGTTTCAACTTTAACAAGTGATGCCGCTCTAAAGATATGCACGTCGTTTCCAAACTGTTTGCTTGTTAGCAAACGTATAGATAAATAATGGGCTATCAAGGCTGTGCCCACCACAAGAATATTACCCAGAATGTTAATATTATAAGCCTTCAAGCCTACCTCTGAGTCAATGTGAGACTATTTCGAAACAATTCAGATTTTTCGAACAAAACTACCCAAAGGCCCATCTGCACACACATGCTATCCCTCACTTTAAGACTATTTATTTATTGTTTTTAGCAAAGGGCCGTAAACTTTCGAATTCACACTCCAAGTATACTAACCATTAAGGCCACGCCTGGCTGCATTTTTATTGTTAAAATATAGCTTATCGGTGAAGTAACACAAAGCCCCAATAATTAAAACTGTAAAAACCTAGAAATTCTAATTGTTATTTGAATTTACTAAGAAATAGCCATTTTATACAAAATATAGTCGAAAGAGTTATTTCATACTTATTTGTCCTTATTCTTAGAATTTTCTATTTTTGATTCATTACTTTCCTTTATTCTTCCTCATTCATTGGCCATGTGTGGCCTAATGGTTAATGTGTTTGGACTGTGGATCCGAGGGCTCATGATTCACGAGCCCTTGTAGCAAAAACGTGCTCTAAACTTTGAGGCAGTGGGTGTACTATTATAAAAAAGTGAAGGTCAAATCCCACAATTCGGTCATACGAGAGATGCTAGTCGCTTGCAGAGAACACTTGTCACATTACGTTAAAGTCTATCAGTTCAAAATTTTGGATGGCTATGCGCAGAGAACCATCTGTATAGCTTTGTGCGAAAATTCAAAACAGACAAGTAAATCGACATTTATGCATGCTTCAGGCAGTGACATGACGTGTAGTGAAATCTTTATTGAGATCCAAAGAATAAATGCATTCTATTATCTCATGTTACAATATCTTTCGGCTGTCCCTTATTCTAATATGGATTCATGGATCTATTGATTGATAAATATATTTAAGACAGGATAATCTCGAGTTATCCAAGCAAGTGTACGTAAACTTCAAAAGATTTGAAAATTTTACTCAACATGTTTTTGCGTCTGATGGAAAAGTTTGATGTTGCACGTAATATTAACTTTAAGAACACAAAGATTTTTGCTGTCATTATTCTGTTTTTTTTTAATATACCACTAGGTGTCGGCTTTTGTTTTGCGCATATGCTTGGGGTAAGTGTCGCACTTAGAAAGGTAAAAAATAAACTGAACATTTTATTTTTAATCCTGGAGACTCATGCGTGTTGATGTGTAACGGAAAGGAAGGAGGTGAAGTGGTGGGAGGAAATTTAGGGACTAATATACACAATAATTATGTTTTGATTGCAGGAAGACAAAATAATAGAAACAGGGCTTTCCTTGTAGTGGCACCAGGTCTTGAACATCGCCTTCAGAATAACTTAGTTAAAGATAATATCAGATACAGCATGAAAAAAAATAAAATAAGTGGAGAGACTTAAGCAACCACCTACCTTATCTATTTTTATTTTTTTCGCTACTCTCTCCGCAATAGACTAGCTTCGTCGAATTCACGGCTCGTCAGTACTTCTTGGGAGAGTAAACCAAAGAATCGACCAGACCTCTACGTTATTCATAGATTCTTTCTTTTCTTTACACACCCTAGTGGCTCGATGTTAAGTCTGATGGCATATATCGATGAAAACCGGATTTCGATATTCGTGGAGGGCACAACACAGGTAGCCCATTGTTTGATATTTTAGTGTCGAAAATGAAAGATTCACAAGAGATTTACCAGCTAATTTGTTGAACTATTATGAATAATTACTTATGATAGGATAGTCATATATCATTTGCCACAAGGTGTAGTTGCAGTAAAGTCTTGAGTAGTGTAAGCGTATTTGAAGGTCATAATCACTTACACTGAAATTTGAAAAAAAAGTGTTTTCACATTAAAATCGATCAACATTTCACACGTAACAGCTAAGCTCGTGGACGAACAATACATAGGAGTATTAGGATAATAACATATTCCTATGACATAATAATTATTACCTAAAATAAAAGAACATGTGTATACTATTTTCTACACAAAGATAATCGTAAAACAGCTTTTTGCATTTGTTTGTGGCTGATTGATGCTATCAATACTTTGTTATCAAATCTGCGAAATATAGTCCCCATAGTGTTTATTGTCCCTGGTGTCTATTTCCTGTAATAATAGTGCAGTCTCATCCATTGGTACATAACATTTAAGATACTTATTAGGCCGAATTTTAATAATGGCTATGTTGTACTCATAATTTTTACCACATAAGAATTACAATATCAATAAATGTCGTTTTACGAAGAATACGATTTACTTTGTAAATGAAGGAATTCTGTTCAATAATATACCTGAAACATGAACACAGTTGTAATATAATATATTGTAATGCTGTTTACTGGCAACGAAAACTGAATAAACTTGAAAAGTCGCTTTGTTAGTTTTACTTAGCGTCAATGCAAGGAAATCTTAATACAGTCCTATTGCTTTGATTTTCCATGAATTGATTCGGATAAGCATGACGTCATTGTCCACCTCTGCCGAGCGAATCGAAGCTAAGTATAAAAATCAAAGTTCAGATGTTCTTCACATATGTGCTATACATATTAAGCCATACCGGAACGGTAAGTATTCAATATCAAGGAAAACTTTCTGCCTGTCTGTGGATGGACCTCCTAAACGAGTTGATCGATCCAGACCAAACATGGTCTGCTAACTTGGTAGTCCAAAAGCAAACAAAATTCGTATTAAACTTTCCCATATATTTAAAAATAAAAATATTTTATAGAATAATCCATATATCTTTACTGCAGTAGCTACTGTAAATAGTTGAGTTTGAACAAAACGCATACCACAACAAAATTCTACAAGTCAAAGATTGTAAATTTAATTTTCAGCATTTTGGCTTGTTTGGGGAAATTTTATGCAAATGTTTCTTTGAGTGAAGATAATAATGATTTGCATAAATCATTATCTTCTTTCAAAGAAACATTTGCATAAAATCATTATTATCTTCATTCAAAGAAACATTTGCATAAAATCATTATTATCTTCACTCAAAGAAACATTTGAATGTCCGGAATTATGAAGTGAAATCTTTCTTTTCGTTTACTTGGCGCATATATATATATTAGACTGTTTCATTAGGATTTCTGGAAAGAAATGAAGGAATAAATGTTTCAACTTCTACTAAAACTTGCTGTTGTCCATCAAAGGGTGATATATACTTTTTATATATTCATTGTCCTTTCTTGAATATCACAATTTGGTCTTGACTGAGTCAAGTTTTTATTTCCTTTAGAATGATTAGATGGTTGTGAGATCGTTTGTTGATGTATATGTTGTATTCTTCTGACATATGGTTCTTCAGTTTCACATTCTTCACTACTTTCGTCACTCGTGTAAAGTCTTTCACCAGTTTTAGGTAACACCCACTCTCGATCTACATCATTGTCGTCGCATTCACTAGCTTAAAAGTCACGAGGCAAGGTTTCTATGATTCTTACATTTGTCCTGGTTTTACTACAGAACGTAGAAACAGTCACTGAATCCACGATGGCATCTACATCAACAAAAACCATCCTGATTACAAGAGATATGTTTAATTGGGAAGAACTCATCACTATTCTACTAAAAACGTAAACGTATTATGATGCAATTAAAAAATGAGTGTTTTTCAGAAAATTATAGAACTACATAAGAAAAAAAAACTTTTTCTAATTTCGATAGTCATATTTGGTAGGCTTTATATACATTAATGCATAATGGTATCACATGTGTAGAAGTAACGATTTCCCTCTATGAACATAAATAGAATCAATATAAATTTAGAATAGTTTGATTTGTTTTGAATTTCGCGCAAAGCTTCACGAGGGCTATCTGCGCTAGCCGCCCTTAATTAAGAAGTGGCAGACTAGATGAAAGACAGCAAGTCATCACCTCTCACCACCAACACTTGGGCTACTCTTTTAACAAGTGATAGTGGGATTGACCGTTACATTATAACGCCTCCACGGGTAAAAGGGCGAGCATATGCGGTGTGACGGGGATTCTAAGCCGCGACTATTAGATTACGAGTCGAGCATCTTAACCACCAGGCCATGCAAGATTTACAATATAAATATATGACTGTTTTTCTCTGCATTAAACTACAATATCTATAAATTCATTGTATTTTTATACCTTAAAATATTCAGATGTAGCACATATTATAATTTAACGGCAAAAAGATATAATAATAATCACTTAAGGGTAAATAACGACCTGCTATCTATCGAGCAAAAGAAAAACTAAACAAAGACATTGTTGTTTGCACAGTAAACATTGGTGTAACTATTTAGGTAGTGAAATTTCCAATTTATATTTACACTAAAACCTCTTGTGCCATACGGTGCCACCATGCAAGCACAGATTAATCATCTAACATCCTAACAAATATTAATACTAGAAACAAACGACCTTATAATACCAAAATGTTGTTTTTATTTAAGATTTGGACAATCAACGTTTCGCTTTACAGCTTCTTCAGGGGCGTTCACTAGAACACAAACTGAAACTGACATTACAAAGTTTTAAATGGTTTAAATAATTCCAATTAAAGCTTTATACTATCAGTTTCGGTTTGTGTTTTAGTGAACGCTCCTGAAGAAGCTGAAAAGCGAATCGTTGAGTGTCTAAATCTAATTAACTAAAAACAACATTTTGTTGTCATAAGGTCGTTTATTTCTAGTATTAGTATGTCTTCTATACACCAATATGCACTGCAGAAATTAAATAATGCCAACAAATATTTTTAACACTAATTTGATTAAGAGCATTTAAACCATTTTAATTCAATAATGATCACAGTTAACATTATTTCAAACTTCTCTCGCGTGCCTTCTGATTGGGGAAAGCCAGCAGTGGCTCTTTTTGAAGCCGGTTTTTATAGACCATTCCTGCTCAACTGTTAGAATTTGAAGTCTCCTCAGTCTTTCACGTGCTATCAAACTTAATAGGTAACGGTTTGTTATTTGGGATGGTACTCAATGATACAAAACCATTCTCAACAATTAGCATAAAAGATTTAGATGTTTTTTGTCACACTAAAACTGATCGTGAAACAAAGATTTTGTTACAAAAAATTGGAAAGACGTCTTTTTTAAATATGGGTAAACGTGTTTAAAATTCACAATGTGGGCAAATTTATGATAAAAAATAGTAATAACAAAACCAAGGTTTTATCTTCATGCCATTGTTTATTCACCAAGCTTTAGCCCCGTAGTGGCACAGCGGCATGTCTGCGGACTTACAACGTTAGAAACCGGGTTGCGATACGGTGGGCGGAGCACGGATAGACCATTGTGTAGCTTTATGCTTAATTTCAAACTAACAAACAAACCAAGCTTTTAACTTTTCTCTGTAAATTGATTTTATAAGTGTACAATATTAGTTTAAAATGTAATTTTAGATGTATCTCAATTGTTAAAATTCTCTATATTACATTTTATCTTACTATTGTTGTAATGACAAGTGATGTATTATTATATCTTGCAAGTACGTTGTTCATAAGTTATTTCATATCGTGTATCACTTAGCCTAAAGAAAGCTTAAAGAAACGAATCGAAAGCTTGTTCATTAAATATTAAAAATGGAGATAAAAAAGTTATTTTTTATGATTGCTAAGTCTTATCACAGGTTTCCTTTTTTTTTCCTTATTGTTTAGAATTTACATAGTTTTGGCGGGGGGTCCCACATGCTTATAAACTCGTCCTATTCTTACGGCACTGCTGTGTTCAGGATTTTAAAAATATACTTTCGCGAGAGGTTTTCTTGTGATACAGAAATTAAAGCTTGAAAGAATAGTAAAAAATAGACGAACAACAAAAAAAGCAAGGTCAAAACTAGTAATTACTGCCGTTGAGAGACCGAGATGATGATGATATGGTTCTGTTCAGTCTGTGTAGATTTACACAGTCGTGTCATTATTATTACTTCCGCCAATCATTCAAAAGATCTGAAGCATAAGGAAGTCCACATAAACACTAACATTTCCATTTCGCGAATTGGCATACTGTGCACGTCATGTCCATACAGAGGCAAGTGAAACTAAAAGAATTTGTTCGTCTTATCGCAAAGCTACACAATAGGCTATACGCGCCATTCTCGTTGCGGGTATCGAACTCAGGGTTGTAGTGTTTTAAGCCCTGAAGCTTACTCCTTAGCCACTCGGAGGACGAAAACGAAATAGACATCAACGATTATTTTATTCTTTAACTTTCGTTAATCATTTATAACTACATGTTAATTTGAACACTACTTGAAATGACAAATATACTGGCTAAATCTTAAATAACAACTATGAAATAATTATAAAAAATGTTAAAATAAAGAATATTTATCTTACCCTCGAAACAACCTAGTGAGGCAAATATTAGTCATGTTAAATAGTTTCTGTTTATAATCATCCTATATAACGACGCATGTTTAATACAGAAAAGTCTCTGATCCTAAGATCCTCTTCATTGTCAAAACCACAAAATACACTAAAGTTCTCATCCATCTCTCTCTACCTATACAATCACTGTCTCGAAATCTCTAAACACTTAAACTGTTATTGTAAGAAGTTGACTGTAAATGATTTTTACGTTGTCTCAAGCGGCGATTTGTAAAACCAATGTAATCTCGACCATAACGAGAACTTATAAAATGATC